ATCCCCAGAAAGGTGTCCTGCTGCTTTCTCCCACAAACTGGTGTTGCGTGCAACTCGCGGGCTCGAGCGCTCCCCACGGTCTGGCCCAGCCCCACTGCGAGGAGCTTCCCCGGTGGCCGCGGCAGCAGCACCGGTTTCTGCGCTCGAGCTGCCCTAGATGGAGGGGGCTCTGGGACACACAGGGCCTCTCGGGAAGCGCTCCTCCATCCAGCCGGAAGAGAGCACTCGGGGCAATTTCAGAAAGAGGCTGCGCTCTTGCTCCACTCGCTGTGGCCAAGGCCAGGCGCAAGCGCTTCGCTTCTCCAGCACTCCACCGATGCTGCCAGCACTGCAGACACCTGGGCAGCAGGTGGGTCGCCGTGCCTCCGGGTCTGGCCTGAAGGTTCGGGGCAGCCCCCTCCTTCCCAGGAGTCCAGGGGACGCATCACAGCCAAGGGTGTGGAGGATGGGACTGGGGCTCTGCTTCCTCCTGGGCCTTCCTCCTGATGCCGACTTTTGGATCACCCCTTGGGACCAAGGGGTCCTTTGCTGACCTCGCAATTAACACGCGCCCTGCCTTGCATCCTTTCATCAGGCGCCGATTTTAACAACCCACCTCAGGTGCACTTCAAACCATCCACATTCTGTAGCAGCAGCCCTTGCTGGTTCGGTGCCCCACTGAGCAAAAGGTCGGGCGACCCTTGGTGGGATCTGGGGCCCCGGACAGTGTGGGGCGCTGGGTTCATCCCTCTGCTGCGAGACGCTGTTCCCCCACTGCGGGTCTGCCCCACAGCTGCTCCACGCCCTGCCAGGGCAAATGTTTCCGCCTGCACCGTCAGAGCCGCTCCCCTTCTCTGCAGAGCCGCTCTGAGGGATACCGCAGCCCCACAGCCTCTCGCTTAGCTTGGTCCCGGCGGAAAATTAGTGTGGGTGGTTTTCTGCCTGCCGTGTGGGCCTGTGCTCCTTCCAAGTGCACCATCCGCCAGCACAGCGCCATCACTGCCCCATGGCCTTCTCGAGGGGTCTCCGTGGGGCAGGGGCCAAACTGCGCTAGCAGCCAGAGGGCCTCGCCGGAGGGTCTCTCTTCCTTCCTTCGACCCGCGCCCTGCCCTCGACGCTGCCTTCACCAGCCACCGGGGACAGCAGGCCCCTCGGCATGTGGCGGCACTCCCATGGGCCACGCCGAACCTGCATGCGTGGGGCGCCCCCGCCGGGCCATCGGGGCCGGGGGCCAGGCCTCAGAGGGCCCCTGCCTCCTCCCTTCCCTCGTTGTGCCTGCCCGTGGTCACTCACCCGAGAGTGGATGCCGGCCCTGCTAGCTGCCTGGCTTCAGGGCTCACACGGTACTCGGGGCGGGGACCCTGGGACAAGATCTGGGCCCCAGGAAGGCTGGGAGACCGTCTGGGTGGGTATCCTGAAGACGAGGGTGTGGGCAGGTATGGCTAACAATGAGCCCCCCCCCCCGCTTGCAGGCCACACGGGGGGCACCTGGGGAGCCCACGGGCTGTTTGGTGCTCACCTGCCAAATTAGTGGCTTTTGGAAACCGACCCAGTCCCCTGGGCCGGAAGCCCAGCATGCACAGCACTGGACGAGCCAAGTGCAAGAGCCATTCCCAATGGAGCCGTCACCCTTTTTTACTTCGTAGCCCCGGCGGGAACAGAAAAGGGAACGCTACCTTGCGTAGCTTTACCTGGACGACTGCAGCACAGAGAAATACAATTACATGTAATGCTAAGTCGGAGTGTTATAAACGGACGGCGTTTCTGCATTGCTTTGCTTGCCTGTGGTCAAAATGACCCCGGCCAGGTCTCCTCCTGCAGCCGGAAGCCAAGCCAAGCACAGCGCTTTTCTGGGAGCGCTTCCATCCAGCCCAGCTCTGTTTTATAAGACGACGCAGCTTGCTGACCCAAGGGTCACGGGAATGACAATCCTTTCTGGACATCACACACACTGTACGGTATTTGCTCACGCCACACTATGCAAGTTGAGGAAGAGGGAGAATAATCTATTCAGTCTGGGCCTCTGGCCAGGAAGTACTTTGCCAACCGGCAGAGCTTCGAGTCTGACCAACTGCCCCTTTGAACAGGCTGCAGTGAAGATGCCCCATGCTGCCCCGCGCGGACGGCGTGGGGAAAATGAGAGCGGAGCCCAGGGCTCGCTGCTGCGAGGGGTTCCAGGCCCGTGCATGGGGACCCTGCTCTGCACTGGGCGGTGGGCTGAGAGGAGGAGACGCCGGGAGACTGCAGCGGGGGGGGGGGGG